GTCATGGCTGGGAGGGGGCAGGGAAGCAGTGGGCATGTACCTGATCCCAGCATCTGGCAGTATTTGGAGACCTACGGGTGTCGGGGGCCCCCAGGAGCTGCCACTGCCCCATGGCCAGGAGAGAAACCAAAACCAGGTTCCCGGGAGAGGCCGTCTCCTTTCTTGGCTCGGTCTGCACAGCGAGGACGAGGGAGCCACAGGCCCTGGGCACCAGATTTCCAGATGCCTCTTACCTCACTCATCTGGGGCTGCAGCAGCACTAGAAGCAGCCAGCCCTGGGAGGAGCCAGTCGCCTCCCGGGGCAGTTGCAGAGGGCAATGCCCTCCTTGCCGGCCACTAGCAGGTCTGGTAGGTGAGAGAGTGAGGAGGGCAGGGGTGAGGCCAATCACTGGGAGGGGGGAAGGAGACGAGAAGGGCGGATCCACCCCCCTGCAGTCTCCTGGGCTAAGCCCTCAGAGGCTGGCCTGGGGCAGGATGCACATTTGTGGTGGGTGCGGTGAGAGGGGCAGGGCACTGAGAGGGGGGATCCCCTGAGAACAACGGGGACGTGGACGTTGGCAGCCCCCTCGGAGCCTGCTGGGGAGAGCAAGGGATGATTTGCTTACCAGGCCCTCGGGGCCTTCCAGGAAGGAGGCGCCCAAGTCGGAACACGATGGCTCTCTCGTATTCCCGCACGATCTGCAGGGGGAGACAGAGAGGCAGGAATTGGAGGGGGCGGGGGCTCTAGAGGGACAGCGGCAGCATCAGAAGAGAATTTGGGGAAAACAGTGGCAAGGCAAACTGTGCGGAGCCAGCCAGCTGCCGTGTGCTGGTGTAGCTCCATTCCCCCAGTGCCCCCAGCTCCATTTACACTGGCCGAGAGTCGGCCCAGCCACCGTGTGGCAATTGCAACTGTGGCCGGAGCCAGGCGGCTGGAACGGAGAGAAGGGGGCCGGTTTCTTTGGTGCGCTCCGTGAGGCAACATGGAGAGGGAAGCCACTTGAATTAAACACAGAGGGAGTGAGACTCAAGTAGGGTTGCCAGGTGTCTGGTATTGGACCGGACAGCCCGGTATTTGTGGCACGTGTCCGGTAAAAAAAAAAAAAAAGAGAAAATACCAGACACGTAAAATGTCCGGTATTTTCTGTTTTTCTCAGACCGAAGGCTTCTTGGGACATTCTTCCCCTGCCATGTCTGGCAGGGCCTGGGGGAGTGTGTGAGTGTGTGAGGATTTAAAGGGGCCGTGACTCTTTTTTTTCCCCACAGTGTTCAGTATTTTTTGTGAAACTATCTGGCCACCCTAAGTGAGAACCAGACGAGAGGTAGGGCGAGTGCATTGGGATGAAGGGGTGTTTGGGGGGTAGGGGAATGGCTGGGACTGTAAGCTGGGGTCAGGGGAGACGTGGATTGGCTGTGCCAGGAAACCAGGATAGGGAACTGGGGGAGAAAAGTGGTGGGAGTAGGCAGACAGACCAGCTGGGGAATGGGGAGGAGGGGTAAACGTAGGCCTGGCACAGTGTGGTGGGGGAGGGGAGACAGGGCTGAGCTGAGCCACGGGGCAAGGAGTCAGACTAGGGAAGGGACTCAGATTGGACCAGGAGCCTGGGGTGGGAGACTGGGAAGTGGGAGGGTTAAGGCCTGTGGACATAGGAGGCTGAGCAGGAGACAGAGATGGATGGGAGGAGGAGCAGGGAACTGGGACTATCGGGGCAAAGGAGACTAGGACTGGGATGAAAGGCCTGAGGAGTGGACACTGGGCCTGGCTGGGTGAGGAGGATGGAATTGGGATGGAGCCAGGGGTAGGGATGAGGTAAGACCTGGTTGAAGGGGAATGGGCAGAAGCATGCCCACTAGAGCACACTCCCCTCCACAGCCGGGAATGGAGCAAATACCCAGGAAACCACTTGGTAGGTGTCTCATCTCCCTCTAGTGTTGCGCCATCCAGAGGATAACAATCTACTATTGCTGTCGGTTACTCCATTAGCGCAAGTGGTAGATATAACGCCTCTGACCCTGCCGAGGGCCTGCGTGGGTGTCACTTCGCTGCCACATGATGGCATTTCTGTGTCTTCCATTTGCTTTTTTAAAATGCAAGGACATTGCACGCACAACCGATGTTAAAATGCCACAATAAGGATGCAACGTCAGGCGCTCCATGCATTGCCTCACCTTCATGCAGAACCAGACAGAAATGGGGAAGGTCAATATGATGAAGAGAAGGGACAAGACGGTAAGAAGCCACTCACAGATGCCTCGACTGGAAGCTGCCAGACCTAAAGAGAGAATGCATTAGCAGGGGCCTATTTCCACATTACTGACCCAACAGCATCTGCTTGCGTGGTCAGAAATCCAGCTTCCAGCGGGTCATCAAAACCTACTCGGAGACGGGCAGACTGTAATCCCTGGGGCTGGAATTTGAGCAAGACGCTGGAGTCGGCATTCAGGGCCTGCCTTGAAAGGGGTAAAACTCGGTTATGTGTGACTTCTTTGGGGCAGAAGGTTCTCTCACCTACGTTCCCTGTGAGCTGCGCACCTGCATGGTCGTGCAGCTGTGTTCTAAGCTCTGCTTAGAAGTTCAAAGCTCCCGCACAGGCAGGGAACTCAGCTGACCGGAGGGGGGTGGGGCATCTCATTAAGCAAGCAGTTAAATGGAGCTGCTCTGCGCTTGAAACAGAGCAGCTCCCAGAGCAGGTGAAAAGGGAAAAAAGCAGGGAATAAGTGGCTGCGGTGAGGGGGAGAGAGTCAGAGGGAAGGGGAGTTTGTAGAGTCCCATCTGCAGGAGGAGAGCAAGAGAGGCAGAAACTCAGCACTCTCAAGCCTCCAGGGGAGGGGGAGATAAGAGGCATGAGATAGGTGGGGGAAAGAGGAGGTGCATGGGTGCTGGCATCTGTGCAGTGAGGTGGAGGTAGGGGGCAGTTTGTTTGGGGTGTCTGACTCGCTGTAGTCCTCTTTGTCTGTCTGGGTTGGAGGGGGAGGCGGAAGCAGGCTGCATGGGGTAAGTGTGTGCACTAGGAGGACTCATTTGCATAGGTGTTAATGGCTTAAGATAAGAAAGAAAAAGATTTCTTTAAAAGAATTTGTTTGGAATGCTGCAGATTTCTAAAACTCTGATCTTAATGATTGTTTTAAATCCTGTGTTACTAATTAATGTGGTATATTGTATTGCAGTAAAGCCAGATCTTTGCTATGGGGAAGAGTTCTGGCTCTTAAAAGTCAGAAGTAACAATCACTAGCTTGAGTTGTTAGAAAGGATGATGATACATGTACTCCAAGAGTAGTTTCAGGGGGTAGCCGAGTTAGTCTGTTACAGAAAAAAATAACAAATGGTCTGGTAGCACTTAATAGCCAAACAAACCATGCAGATGGTATCATGAGCTTTCGTGGGCACAGCCCACTTCTTCAGCCCATCAGAAGAAGTGGGCAGTGCCCACGAAAGCTCATGATACCATCTACATGGTTTGTTAGTCTATAAAGTGCTACCAGACCATTTGTTGTTTTTTTCCAAGCGTAGTGTTAATTTTCTTTATTTGATTTCATATTAAATATCGTACGCATTGCTCCTTGTTAAATATCCCTTGTTTTAATATATTTTCTTCCTCATACATGGACTGCTTAAAATGTGTGTGTGTTATGTTTGTATTGGTGGTGCACATCCACACACACACTCCCTCAATATTAGTGGTGCACATAAGAAATTTCAATCTGACCAAAAGAAAATTCAACCTGCTCAGGGATGGAAAATGTTAGAGGGGACACTGTCCCTCACCACCACGAGGAACCAGTGCTGACCAGGTACTACTGCTGGGTCTACACTTTAAATATTCAGTCGCAGCGAGGAAGGGGCATTCAGCATGTTCTATTTCCCAGGGGGCCACCTGAGCCAGCAGCTCTGGGGTCAAGGTGGTGTTGCTCCTCGGGTGAGCTGGGGACAAAGCTTTTATCAGTGTGCTCGGGATGATTCCTTTGCCCATGAGCATGAGAGCCACCCCCTAGCTGGACACATGAACCAGACAAAGTCAGAGCTTGTTCCAGGAGGGCAGCAGAGTCAGCTACCAGCTACTCTCCTCTCAGCCATTCTAAGCAAAGTCCCCCTTAGTCATCTGGAACCAGAACACAGGGAACTCAGGCTAATATCGACCCATAAATCAAATGCTCAGGGCAGCTCCAGCTGGCTTAGGCTGAAAGAATGATTGTCTGACCTCTGAGTCCAGAGGTTTATTAACTAATGGATGGTACAGGATGGAGAAAGATCATTTTAAAACTGGCATCTCAACTGTCCTAAACCTGTAACTTACCTGCTCCTACAAGATTGGGACTTTCAGCTTAGAAAAGAGGACAGTAAGGGGGGATATGACAGAGGTCTATAAAATCATGCCAGGTGTGCAGCAAGTGAATAAGGAAAAGTGATTGACTTGTTCCCGTACCATAAGAACTAGGGGTCACCAAATGAAATTAGTAGGTAGCAGGTTTAAAACAAACAAAAGGAAGCTTTTCTTCATGAAGCTCACAGTCAACCTGTGGAACTCCTTGCCAGAGGATGTTGTGAAGACCCGGACTTTAACAGGGTTCCAGAAAGAACTAGATCAATTCATGGAGGTTAGGTCCATCAATGGCTATTAGCCGGGATGGGTAGGAAAGATGTCCCTCACCTCTGTTTATCAGAGGCTGGGAATGGGCGACATGAGGGGTATCACCCAAGAGCTGCTAGTTCAGGCAGCCCCTGGGAAATGGCACATGCTGAATGCCCCTTTCTTGTTAGGACTTTGCTGACCTGATCAGTTCACTCCCTTTGGGGACAGCTGGCACTGGCCACTTCTCATGTACTTGGGCATTCTGTGCAGGCTTCACAGGCAGGAATGAATGACACTTATGGAAACTCCCTGTCCATTTCCCGGATAGGGGAGCTCTCTCTCCCACTCTGTAGCACAGCTGGGACCAGAACTCAGGTTTACTGCCTACAACTCTGGTGCTTGGTCCTCTAAGCTACAGTCAGTCCTCCCTAAAGGGCACTTGGGCTATGTCTACACTCGCGGCTTCTTGTGCGAGAAATATGCAAACGAGGCTACGCGTAGAATATCGCCGAGCCTCATTTGCATACCTAATGAGCCGCCATTTTTGCAGAAGAGGCTCTTGCACCAGAAGAAGCTGCCTACACTGCCCCTTCTGGCGCAAGAGAAACCCTCTTCCGCGATGCCGCTATTCCTGAAAATAATCGGCATAGCGGCATTGCACAAGAGGGTTTCTCTTGTGCAAGAAGGGGCAGTGTAGACAGCTCCTTCTAGAGCAAGAGCCTCTTCTGCAAAAATGGCGGCTCACTAGGTATGCAAATGAAGCTCGGCGATATGCCACGCTTGGCCTAATTTGCATATTTCTCACGCAAGAAGCCGCGAGTGTAGACATAGCCTTGGAGGGTGGGAGGCTCAGGGCTGGGGCAGTTCTAGGTGGGAAGGGCAACTCCAGCCATCTCCTTTCACCTGCCTGACGATTCTTTTCTGTCTCGTTTGGTGAGACGCAATCCCATTCTGGGCACATCCCAATACCCTGGCTCAAGCAGACCTTGACCTTGCTTTAAGTTATGACCAGAGGAAGCTGCATACAAATGTGGGGGTCCTAGCTCTTACCAGAAGGAGGAGTTCTTGGACAGACAGACAGACAAACGCTCAAATATACAGTAGATGTGCTGAGCAGATGCTGACTCCACCCTCTCCCCACAGTGGTTTTGCTCCGGCTCCCATTGCCTGCCTTAAAACACGGCTTCCCAAACTGGGGGGCGTGAAGAAATTCCGGGGAGGAAGGGTGTGAGGCGACCCCGCCCCCCATCAATCTCCCCCCCTAAGTTTCGCTGCTATTTTTGTTTTTCGGCCCCAGTCAGTTCCTTTTTTTTTTTTGTTCAACAAGTTTTGCTGCTATTGGGGGGGGGGGGGA